TCGTTTGCTTGAAAGGCATGGATTTCGAGTACTCGGGTCCGAGTCGAGTCTTATCCCTCGAGTACTCGAGTCCAAAAAAATGGACTCGTTGAAGCCCTACTATCAAGAGGCTATCGCTAATTGTCTCACCTGCCATTTTTAAAGAATTCGCGGCAGTCTCCGCCTTGATTACATAGTCGGTTGTACACTCCGTTCCCATCTTCAGCGATGTGAGTTCTGTGTATAACGAGATTACTCGTGGTTTTCCGCTCCCTAAATAATGTTCTCGTAAAATTTTCAGTGCTCTTCTTCCATCATCCTTAGCATCCCTCATTACGAGGGCTAAGCTTCTATCGTCCAGGCATTGCACCAACTCAGCAAAAGCATCAGCATTTTTGCTAGCAGAGGGGCTCTCTGACGACTCTTCGGTCGGTAATATCACGTCGTATAGTTTCGTGATTTCGTAGACAAAACCAGTTCGTAGACGCGGCGAATTCGTAACCAAAACCGGTTCGTAGACGGTGATTTCGTAGACGTGTATAAATAATTGAATATATAGTATATATTAAGTTTGATTTTTACTTAGATGTTACTTAGAATGTTTATAACGAAGTTGTTATGCTTTGTTTTCAGTGATACGAAACTAAGGGCAGCTAAACACTCAAGGAAATTGTGAATGAAAACTAAGGGCAGCTGAGGACACAAGAAAATGTGATTGAAGAGTGAACGAATATTTTCCCGTATCTTGTCTTGACTTGTTTTACATGTATTTGTATATATAGGGTTTGTGTTGTATTTTTTATTTTCAGTGATACGGAAATATTGTTACTGTGTGACTGTGTGTGTAATAAAGATGAAGCGTCGTAAAATGTAAAAAGACAGACAGCATTGTTATGGAAGAGTGATAATGTAATATATTTAACAACAATTTTCACAACAGCACGTATCACAGTAGTAACACAGTATCACAGTCACTCAGTGACCATTGGCCCATTTAGTTTTGACACCTCCCTCAGCAGCTGGGACACGGTAAGAGTTGTTGCCTGGAAATCGTCCCATAATCTAAAAAATTTATCCGCCTTGACACGCTGGCCAGCAAGCTGCCTTCTGTCCAGCTGACCGTCTGTGACAAGTCGAAGCCTCTCCAGGTCGCCGCCTCAAAGTCCGCGACCATTTTTTCAACAGCTGCGTTGTCCATTAGGTCGTTCACCGCGTTGAAGACCTTCTTGAGGTTTATATACCATAAGTGTGTGTACAGGTAAACTTTGTCGGCGGATTAGACAAAATTAGTCTACTCATCATAATTGCCGACTGGTTTCATTGTTGTGGGAGGATTAACAGGTTTCACTGAGTTGTTGTGAATGTTAATTAGGAAGTGGTGAGTTGTTTTGATTGCAAAATACTCTGTGTGGGAGATGTAAGTGTTTTCTTAAGAAGTGTTTTCTGCTACTTCTCTGCTGGTCTGCGTAGTTGAACGTTGAATGACGATACTTACCTAATACATTTCTTTTAATTTTACACAACTGAATTTAATATATTAGCGGCCTATGATTTGTCGGAATTTGTGACATGGACCACTGTGAAGCATATTTTGTTATTTTATTATTTAAAGGTCACATGCAACGTAAAACACAACTTTGCAGATTCTGATACCTTTCGGTATATGGACTTACCGAAACAAAGCGTCAAAAATGTAAATTCAACTTATAAAGTTGAAAAATAACGCGATGAAAAAAAACGCGCGAAATCGGAGTTCAAACGTTTCATGACATGTTATGATGTCTGATGATTGCACAATGTTATACACAAAAAATGAGCATGTATTTACAAAACCCAACTTTCTATATATACACACACAATGAGCCGTGAAGGAGGCATCTGCTAATGAACCAGCCGTTACACTTGAGTGCACACCCACCCGCTCTGACTGGTTTCGCTATCCCGGCTGCTTCGTTTCGAGGGAGGTAAACCCAAGTACAAAATATTGCACTTTTGATTTGCGATTATACGCTTATAATTTTGTTTATTTGTTTTTTCATAATCAGCAATGCATATTATATGTCATGAAGAAGTGATAATTGTGTTTTAATTATGTTTGATTTTTCGGTTGCATGTGACCTTTAAGGATATTTTCACCGCCGATCATACTTCCCTGATATATTTTATTTATTTCACAAAATGCAAACACTTTTCGTCGATTTTCTTCATTGAGGATGAAATTTTCCCATTTTAATCACGTCTACGAATTCACCGCTCAATCCGTCTACGAATCCACCGGATTTCCACGTCTACGAACCGGTTTTGGTTACGAATTCACCTACAGCCATGTTGAACTGAGCATGGGAAACACATGTACAGGTACTTCCGGAAGATACAAGGGAGTTAAGTATTTTACATACCGCTAAAAACAAATGAGTACAGTGACTGATGCGTACGTACAATATCCACAAAGCAATATAACTACAGTTTACTCCAACAAATGTAGTCCGCCACCACGGTCTCTGAACGGGAGCGAAATAGCTGCAACCCAGATTCGGTATGTATAAAAACGTTATGTTGTTGGGGATTTAAAAGGACTGAGTTATATTTTTAAGAATTATACCAATGTTTCGAATTATCTGGCACTATCATCATGTATAATCGTACTCTTTAGTGACGGTATCGAATTTGTGTCATATAGGATTATTAAGGCCCAGTCACTATTCTTGATCCTGAAACGGTGAATGACGGAAAGGCAAAACGGAACCATTCGTGTATATTTATTGATGATAGTATACTCTGAAGATTTGTTTAGTATCGTACCAAGTATGAACTAGTTTATGTTATTGATGTCTAAATATATTACACAACATGGAGGGATCCTTATTATCATAAGGAAATATATGCGTGAATGTTATAATTTCCGGGTTTCGAAAATGTTCATTTGGTCGAGATGGACTAGTCGATTTGATTAAATCTTTTTTAATCAAGCACCCCTCTGTGGTGTTTAGGGCTTGACACCCCTTTATGATAAAGTAGAAACACGTTTCCGCAAAAATTGCAGGCGCAATTGGGTGTTGATGATTTTGTAAACAGGAACTAAGTATTTGTGATAAAGTGTTGGCTCATAAGAATAGGCCTGACAATGTGAGTTTAAACAGATGTACTGTTTATTAAATGTACTGCAACTGCTGATTTTGATTACTTATACTGTAAAACGGTTACTGTTTATTGTGATATACTGTTCCACTCTGCATTATTGTTTCTCGTTGATATGCCCCAAACCAGGAGATTATTATTTGGAATCCCCGAATATGTTCTATGAATATTTGTAAGTTCTATATTTGTTTGTTTATCAAACCAGTAAACATACAAGACCTTACACAGGGGTTTGCTCTAAATAACCTGCCACTCAGATATATCTGAAAGTGTTGAAAGGGGGTTGAAACCACACCACTCTCTGATGCAACTGAATCTTAGACTGCCTACATTAATCTGATATAACTAAAATACTTTTCAAAGTGAATCACCGAATGCTAGTGAGTGAGTGGCATTTATTTGGCTTACCAGACAATAATTTTTTTCATTGTCATGTTTCCAGACCTGGAAACAAAAGAGGCCACACTTACCGGATGACCAGTGGTTTCATGTCTGATAATAAAATGTCAAAGGTTCATGTTGTTAGTGTTACGGATTTCATACAGTTGTTTTTTGTTTAACATTCATTCATGAGTGATTTAAATTTAAAGTCACATCGGTAGTATTTCAGCCAGTAAAGTATGTAGATTATCACAGATGTAAACATACAGCTAGCATGTAATCATAAAACAATTTATCATCCAAAACTGTGTTCCACAGGAGATATCGCTTGTGTGAGATCAAACGATATCTCCTAGGAGATATCGTTTTGACAGTAGATTTTGTACAATGCTCTGACAATGCTATGACGTCATGAACTTGATGACGTCACAATGCTATGACATCGCTGCACTGCAAATCTAATGGCAGTACTGTGTTCAGAGATGTACATTTTTCATTGAAAACTAATGAAGAATGATTTTGGATGATAAATAGAATCTCACCCTCGTGTCTTCTGATATCAAATATATCAACACTCGTTGATAAAAGTAAAAATATCCTCGGCAAGCCTCGGATATTTGTTACTTTATCAACTCGTGGTGATATATTTGATATCAAAAGACACTCGGGTGAGATTCTCTATTTATCATCCAAAACTGTGTTCCACAGGAGATATCGCTTGTGTGAGATCAAACGATATCTCCTAGGAGATATCATTTTGACAGTAGATTTTGTACAATGCCCTGACAATGCTATGACGTCATGTACTTGATGACGTCACAATGCTATGACATCGCTGCACTGCAAGTGTAATGGCAGTACCATGTTCAGAGATGTACATTTTTCATTGAAAATTAATGAGTGATTTTGGATGATAAATAGAATCTCACCCTCGTGTCTTCTGATATCAAATATATCAACACTCGTTGATAAAGTAAAAATATCCTCGGCAACTCGTGTTGATATAATTGATATCAGAAGACACTTGGGTGAGATTCTCTATGTATCTACAGAACCAAACAATATAAAAATGCGTTCAAAATGTTTATCGACATTGTAAACACAAAATTAAACCAAAAAGTCTACCCGCGTTTTACTGTTTGCACTCACTGACAGCAATGATGTGTCATCAGCCGGTCGTTTCGGCTGGTTCCCATAGTAACATCTGGAACTGCTCATTTGTGAGGTCATTCTCACTTTACGTCACAATATGATTAGAATGACGCCACGACTTAACAATACAATTGTGTGCGATAATTGTACGTATCAACACGCAGTGAATAGACTTGTAATTTCCGGGATTTGAATACCATTCGATCATGTTTTTCACCAATCCGATTAAAGAACACAGTGACTTTTGGTTTACAATTTTATTTAAACACTAGTTTAGTTTATGACAGTGCCATAAAGGTTGTCCTTTCTTTTACAGGCTGAAACCTGACGAACCATTTAAATATTTGTAGACCACGGTACAACTGTGTCAAGGGTTTCCGGAGAGTAGAATTGTCTCGAGTAGTACGTGGAATGGAAGTAGTCTATCAGAGGGGGCAGGGGGACATTGGGGGGAGTGCTAGGAACAGCGGAAATGGGGGGCACAACCAGCGCTCACGTTTACAGTTATTTGGTCAAGCCAAGAAGAAGATTGATTACATCTTCAAAGAGATTGGACAATTTCTTCAAGAGACAGACACGTTTGTTGATGGTGAGTGAGTAACAAACAATCTTTATGAAAATCAATACTCTAATGAATATGATTTATTAAGTTTTAAAATATACATGTTATTCTTACTTACGTCAAGACCAGTATGTCTATGTAATATTGGCGTCAAGGTCCATTTGACATAATTAAGGATGAAACGATATCTGAAACTCGAAGGCAGGGCGTTACTAAGCTCTTGATGTGATCATGATGATACGCGAGAGGTGGACCTAATTAGTGTTTCAAAATACACTTTTCTAAAATATGTAATGAAAGAATTACCCTTTATCTAAATGATGAAAGATTTGTCCAACAAATCAGATGTTTGAAGTGATGCTGGCATCTCTGTTATTTTTTGTGAATGACTGGGGATTTGAATACATGACACGTTTTATGGATAACAACTTCTTTTCTATTTTTACACGACGTTTCAGAGCCTTTTTGAACTAATCCAATCTAATTGGCTTCGTAATTGTATTGTTATCTTTGTACATTCTCCCTCCTTGCATTGTGTTTCATGTTTCTATCTATATATATATTCACTCTCTTACTGACTCGGCATTCATCTGATGAAGGAGCAAGAATTAGCTCTGAAACGTCGGGCAAAGAATAAAAAAGAAGTTGTTATCCATAAAACGTGTCATGTATTCATGTTCATCCAACTTCCAAATGCCTTTCAAAAACTTTACTGGGCATTGTTTAGAGGGCTAAAATAGTCTCATCTGAAATGGCAGGTTTTTAATTGATTTGTCATTGTCTTTTTAAAGTTTTGGAATGGAAAAACACGTTTCATGATGTATAATCTTCTGTATTGTCGCTTTTCTTGTAGTAACTTAGTAACAGTGTTACTTTCAATTGACAGTTACTGTACACCTTGTATGCCTAGTAGTGTAGTACACAGTCTATTAATTTTACATCTAATTTTGATCTACCTTCATCTACTTGACACTGGAAAATGGTTTACGTGAAGCATGGTTTAAACTTGATATACTGAGTACATAACATCTTCAGAGATCGGAACCACTTTTCAAGAGATTCTGCCAGCAGATGTTAGTGCAAAGGTCAAGGGCTATAAGGAGAAAGTTCAAGACATCCGAGAAGTCATTCAGAGGAAAGGCATGAAGGTTGTATTTTTTGGAAGGTGAGTGTTGTTCCCTCTGAAGTACTGTGTATCCAATGAAGCACCTGTGTTAATAGTTTTAAAGTGATTTGTTGTGTCTCAGGGAAGTTGTTGTTTTCTATTCTTCTTTTAATAAATTTAACAGTTAGGGGCTGCTGTAGCCTAGTGGTTCAAGCCTTTGCTCGTCACGCTGAAGACCCAGGTTCGATTCCCATGATGAGTACAATATGTGAAGCCCATTTCTGGCGTCCCCTGCCGTGATAGTGCTGTAATATTGCTAAAAGTGGCATAAACTAAACTCACTCACCCACTCATATAGCAGTTAAAACAAGACTGTGATTATTTTCTTGAGATAAGACGACATAAGGATTGAATTGAGTGAATATTGTTTATATTGTCCGTTATAATTGACAAACAACTACATTAAATCAATGTGTAAATTGGGACAGATCAAAGGAGAAAACTCCTTAATTCAGAGTCAACATGGTTCATAATAATAATAATAGTCCAGTTCTATTGCGCGTTTATCCATGCACATTGCATGTTCAAAGCGCTGACATATTACCCCTGGTCAACGAGTACAGAACACTCCCTGTGGAGAATACAACCGGTCGCCTGTCAGGCGCTCAAGGTTCAAATTCAGACTACCATCGTATCATACCAGGTATCCAATTGTACTGCTGTGTGGACAGAGGCAAGTTTGAACAAACTCACTTGCCTAAGGTGAGACCACATGCGTCACATGTGCTTCGTTGTGGGGCATGACTGAAGTCCTAGAAACTTTCAGGAGTCAAGCTGCCAAACACAGTCACCCATCCAAGGACTGTCCGCGACCAACGTTGCTTAACTTCAACTGATTGTGACCTGAGCTCTACGCACAGGACCACACACCGCCACCGGTGTGCCATCATGTGCCATCACCGACTTTTGGTTTGTCGAGAAACAAACCCCAACTTTCATCTTTCAGTCATATTATTTTTATCATGTCGTGTGTATGGACTTATATTTCTGAGCTGATTTAGGGCTTCAGACCTCTCTCACTTGCCCCGGCCACTTCGTCAGTGGTGATGTTAAGCTAACATAGTGTAGTGGCTAAGGGTGAAAATAGATACTTGACGGACTAAAGCATGAAACTTTGCACAGTGCTGGGGATTATCATGATAAAACATATTTTTTGTAGGGGTGCCCGATTTTTTGGGCCTATTTTCTAAATAATCCAAGATGGCCACGAAAAATCAAAGCGTGCTGAAGTCCACCGAGACTATAAAACCGACTATAAAACACATGAACCGACTATTAAAAAAATCTTCATTTGTTGCAATATGTGAGATATATTTCTAATACTTTCAAGAAATCTAACAAACAACATTTATGTTACATGTGTTATATTTGGGATTACACTTTCTTTGTAAAGTACAGATTCTAGTACTTTTTTTTTAAGTTGAGTCCCATCCGGGATTCGAACCCACACCCTCAGAGTCAGGCACCTAATCGCCAGCACACAAAGTCAGACGCCTAGACTGCTCAGCCACCGCGGCTTCTACAAAAATGGAAGTCGAATAACTGATAGTCCAGACTACGGAATTTGTGTACCCCTCTGATAAGTGTTAATTGGCACGGCTCCCACGGCCGAAAAGCTATGAAATACACAATGCCAGTTTAGAAAGTGGTCAAATGTAACATGTGTTATATTTGGGATTACACTTTCTTTGTAAAGTACATTTATGTTTAGTAGTAAAAGATATAATTTATCTTCAAAATAATGTAAACGCTACAGTGTTGATCAGTCACGTGACATCATGTTGTCAAACATCGATCTCTGTGCTTCTTAAGTCCCGCTTAACAGTTCCCATTGCAGTTACAGAGCGATGTGTAAAGAAGATGAAAAATATACAAATGCACTTCTTTGAACACAGAGGTTGAGACTTGCAGTCACCTTTGCTAAGTTCTCGAGAACTTCGTGAAGCTTCTGGCAGTGTCATCCACACCAGTTTCCGTCTGGAAAGTAGTTGAGTTGAGTTGAGTTGAGTTGAGTTAGGCTTTATGTCACATCGGCATTATTCCAGCCATATAGTGACGAGAATAAGTCTGAATTAATAAACATTGTAAGTACGGAGTGAAAATGAATTTTATTTCAAAAACATATATTCATTACATTGTCGTTTAAAACAGAAAAGGTCATAGCACTAAATTTAAAGGTAGGCAATTTGTTAGTCATATTACACAGTTACAATTTATGATACAGATCAACTTCCCTTCCTATCAGATGAGCGCTCACGCGGAAGAAAAGACCTATCAGATTTGTTGCATCATAATGTGAGTCCCTTGCAGATGATAAGTCCACGCAGTCAAGCAGAATATGCTTGATGGTGCCTCATCGCAAGAGGCACACATGGGGGGTCCATCCCCATCCGTTTTCAGCAGATAGTCATGAGTAAACCGACTGTGGCCAATACGACATCGTTGTAAAATTATTCACTCAGTTGTCAAACATTTATGTAATTATGTACAGAAATAAAGAAGTTGTGACTATTTTATCAAGCACGATTGGTCTTCTATGTTAGCAAAATGTTGCATAGGGTAGCCATGTTTGCACGTGCACTATGGATTTAGCTGTAGTGGGATTTAATAGGACTTTTAGTATGTTAGGTAGGAAGGTATGTGGAACATATATGCCAAGTTTCATTTCTTCATCATTTTTCCGACCTTTGTGCTTATTTGACTGGCCTACAATGGCTGGATACAATCCTGCTCGTATTTTGGTTAGGAAATAACCTTCAATTGGTTTTCCGACAATCCTTGATTAATATACTTCATGCTGATTAGGTTCACATGTTTGGATAAATAAAAGTACTTAAATGAAATGGTACTCTTTTGAATAACAATGACCACTCGGAGGTTTGTAGAGGTGTTTGTTCCTGATAGTATATGAATACGACAACGTGTATGTTTATTGTTATCACTACAGTGTATTTTGAACCCATCCAGAAGTCACATTTTTTGCAGGGCATATCCAAGAAAGACTTCGATAATAAGTGTAGAGCTTCGTATAACAACGAAGCAATAAGGGCTGAAACTGAAAATTTGCAATTTGGTGGCATGTTTAGAAGTCAATGAAAACTCAATAAATGTCCCAACAATTGCAATAATTTGATTTTTTACACCGAAAGATCAAGTAAGTGAAATTTTATAATTTCATAAAATCACATTTAAGTGATCACATATTTCCATGCTTTAAAAGAGTTATCGCCCTTGCTACTCACATTTCAAGAAAATATCATAACTCAACCTGACAGCACCTAAAAAATCGCGATATTCTACAGAATACCAAGACTATCAAACACCATTTACAGATTATGTAACAGGGCATCTTTAAACACGTATGATTAAAAATCTAAAAAGATAATTTTCTTTTCCTTGTCAGTCTGGAGGAAGGTGAAGGCTGTGGCTCATCTTCATCTTCACTCTCATCAGCGTCGTTGGAAGACAATTCCTGAGATGTTTCATCAGATGATAGTTCATGATCTTCTTCATCCTCCTCTGCAAAGTATACTGTGTTAGAATTGCAGCAGCTACTGTGGCAATATCCACATAGACGCGAACATTTCAATCCTGCCTTTCTGCACCCACACATACGTTCACACCCTGCTTTACAATTGAATTTGATCATGTTGATTAATGTCTCTGGTGCAAATGCAACCATATCCTTTGTGGATAATTGATTATGGAACGCTTTGACAATTGTTTTGTGAACAACATGACAGCTTTTTTCTTTCACTGTCTGTACAAGGCTGATGTAGTGTCACAACCAGTCATGGCATGGAGAAAGAGTAACTCAGAAATTAAGCTCTCTGGCAACGTTTGCCGTAACAACGAAATGTTGATCAACAGTCTTTCCGCTCCCAGTTTTAAGGAAGTACAATCTTTCTGAAGCACACAAATGGGTGAGGAGCATCAGAAAATCAGCATCAGTCCCAGTGACAATGGCTTTGTGCCCATTATCAGCACAATCAATACCTGTTTGTTTAATGACAAGGACAGCATCTGCTCTGGCTTCTATCACTGGGATATTGAGCCCATGAAATTGTTGTGTCAGAGCCTTTATAAAATGTGACTTGTTTTTACCATTGGACAGGAATGTATCATGTTTGATTGCCAGTGGTGTTTCAGAATTGAAAACAATATCAGTGCTTAGATATCTGGATGCTCTCCGACTCTGTTCAACACCTTTTGTTGACACAGAGTCGCCATACCCATCAAACACAATGATACAATTGTTTCCAGAGTGTCTATTGCTTATGTCAGATAAGCATCATAAACACTATTGTATGTTCAGCTTTGGAGCCATATCACTTCTTTTCTCAGCAAGTATCCACCATCAGCTATGTACACAGCATCTGGAGGAACTTCCTTCTCATGTGGAAGGCTTTGTTTGCCTTACAAAGTATCAATGACAGAGTACATGACAGATATTTCTGTTTTTCGCATTCAGTACTCATCTAATAGTGATAGAGGACACGGAGAAAGTTAACATTTGAAACAGGATAAAAAGTCATTATCTGTTTTCATGAGGCACAGGATGCAATGAAAAAGCTGCATGATATTGACAGGTATAACCTCATTCTGTATTTTGATTGAGTTGTTCATGGCAGATAGGGGGAGTACTCTGCTTTTTCTTGGACTATGCAGATCTCCAAAGCTTTTGCAAACTATATTCTTCATAGCAGAATCTCAAAATGCACGTGCAGAATCGCAAGTAATGTCTTCTTTCCCTACAATTCCACTACTCAAGGAGAGCAGTTCCTGTCCTTGTTCAAATGGAGAATGAGTTGACAGCCATTTAATCAGCTCGTTAACATCACTGGCGTCCCTCTCAATTCTAGGTGCTCATGAACACCACAAAATCTCGTCCCACAGAATTCCTCGAAGTACTGGATCATTTCAGTACAACCAGGCATTGCCAAGACCCATTGCGCCAACACACTGTCAGTCCTTGTCCACGAGTGAGACCACTGGATGTC